AAGATTTGATATTACCTCATTGATTTGAATAGTTGCCCTTGTTTTGATGTGAGTAGAGTATTAAACCTTCACTTTGAGGTTCTTTTTCTTTCTTCTTGGTTACTTCATGGATAAGTCTTGCCGTCACATAATCTATTATGAGCTCTTTTATTTTAATAGATTTCAATGCCACAATAAGGTAGTTGTAGGATTTAAGAAGGCTCATTAGCAAGGTCATGACAATATCACTTTCTTCTAAAGGCTTGTCAACAATTGCTAGTTGGTTTACAAGAGCCTTTACCTTATTGACATGAGTCATGAGGTCTTCACCTTCTTCCACCTTGCAAGTAAAGAACTTCCTCTTTATATAGATGATGTTGGATAAGTTTTTGCTCTCATAGATGTTGCAAAGAGTCTTTCATGCTTTCGCTTGTCTTTAACAAGAGATAATGTGGGAGAAATCGGCTTCATCCACATTAGTTGAAATCAATCCAAAAGCCTTCTTTTCACGTCGTTTGAATTCCTCCTTCAAATCAGCATCTTTGCTTGGAGCCTCTTCACTTTCATCTACAATATCCCAAAGATCCAAAGACGCCAATAAAAGCTCCATTTTTATCTTCCAATGGTAGAAATTGTCACATCTAAACTTCTCAATAACTCTCAATCCTTCACCCTCACTTGAAGCCATGTCTAAGGAAGAGTGGTATCAAAAAAGATTGTAAGAAGAAGTCCTAATGCTCTCAAAAATCAGCAAGAAGGATTTATTGCCTTAGAATCCCAAAATCCTTGTTTGTGAACAAATTAGTGTTTTAACTCTCAAAAAACACTCTCAACTTCACTTCTAAGACTTGTCACAAGTTTGATGACTTATCTAAGTGTCTCAGATCTGATTTGCCACTCTGATATCTCTCTTATGCTCACAAATCACCTCTATACACTATAAGTGGTTTTTTAAGCACAATCAGTAATTTTAGGACATGAAATCGTAAAGTTAGACTACTAAAGATCTATCTTAGCAAAAACAAAATTCAAAATTTTTCTATAGGTGAAAAATAAGACATTATAACCAAAACGCTCTTAACCACAAGTAAGAGCAAACTATGATCTAGATCTAGATCTGAATCTAAAAGTTAGGTTCTTCCAAAGCCTATCATCAGCAACAACAACTTGATCTACTCCACACTTACAAAACCACTTCAAAGAACTTTAAAAAACACTCAAGCAAATGTGAGTGGACCCATAACCTATTGAAGAAAAGAAGTCTAAAACCTACAAATACTTAGCATCAACAAGAATTGTAATCTAAGAGAAGTAATGGAGAAAGATAATTCTTACATCCAACACTCTTTACTTATAAGTGGTGGTTTGCTCACCAACGAGGCAACTTCCATCCTTTTGATATTACATCCATTTCTACCTCATCCAACTAAATCCTTGGTGCCACCACAATAACTTATTTTAATCCTTTGTTGCCTTTTTACTATTAGCAACATACTATGCTTAATCTTTATGTAGTTGTAACTAAGCAAGTACTTGCTGATCTTCAACAAACATTAATATCATGACTCCTTCAAAATACATGATTCAGAAGATGGTCATTACAATTGAGACAGTCTAAACTTAAAATTATTCAAGCTCTGAAATTGCAAATAGTGACTGGATTATTTCGAGGCACATGTGCACATAAAACTATGCTCAATTGAAAATATGGCACAAGTATTCTTTGTCAAAAAACTAAAGGAATGTGTAGAATATAAATTAGAGTCTGTCACTAACATTATTTGAGAGATTTTAGACTTAATCAATTTATAAAGCAATTTGATTGCTTCTCTTAAAACTTATCCTCTAATATAAGAGATAATGTACTAAATGCCTATGTTAGAATCTTTAATTTCTTTATAATTAACAATTCTACTTTTTCTTTTCTTTTTTCTTTTTTTTTCTTCTCATAATCATTACTTCTTTCTTTTCTTTCTTTCAATAACACAAGATTATATTATTTTTCCAAGTTTTTGTTCAAATTCATGTTTTTGACTATAAACCAAATAAAGTGACTTAATAATTACAACATAGGAATTAAGGCAAAGATCCTCAATACATACCTCTTATTTAAATATATAGCTATATGCAACATATGTCATGCCATAATATTAGAAGAGAGTCTTAATGCTTGCTGATATTCTTATAAGTGGATACTACTCATGATGGCATTCAAATTTTATAATTTGAAGATAATTACGAAGAATTCAAGAATAATAAAATTAAATATGTAGAAAAATGACTACATATTTGCTTGTATGTAAGATTTTATCAATGTTTTAATAGATCTACCAACTACCTTTTTATACAAAATATATTAAAGTATGTAACAAATACCACCATTGTGACTCTTGGTTTATCAGATTATGAAACATCTTGATTATTAAAATTTGGTTTTGAATTATGCAATTAATTTTATAATTTTTTTATTAAAAGTGATTGATAAAAAATATTTATTTTTTTACACTAATATATATATATATATATATATATATATATAATTTATTTTATTTCTTATTTTATTTTTTAATATTAATATCTACTATCTACTTAACTTTTGGCATACTTTAAGATATTTAAAATAAATCATATTCTATCAATATTCAATTTTAAACATATAAATAATGCGTGTATTTTTTGACACACCTATAAAATTAATGATATTTTAGAGATATATTATAACATAAATTTTCTAATTTAATAATAGGAATGCATTTTCTATGCAATAATTTATAAAATATAAGAAATATATTTTTATATTTTAGTCTAAGTTATTTAATATATTTATCATATGATATTTTATATAAGAAATTAAAATTATAAAGCAAAATATGTGTGTATATATATATATATATACATGTGTGTGTATGTATGTATATATATATATATATATATATAGATATCCTTTTTGATATAAGAATAAATTTCTTATAAGATTTCTTTGTAACTAATTATTACTCTAAAATAATTCTATAAGAAGATCTTGTCTTTAAAAAGTAGATACAAGCAATAGAGATAAAATTTAATACATTGAAAATTTTGGTTTCTATGAGGAAAAAAAAAAAAAAAAAAAAAAAAAAAACTAATTTTTAAAGTTATTACAAAATTTAAATTATTTTAAGATAATTAAGAAGGCAAAGCTTTGATAATATTTTAAAAATAATTTTATTTTTCTTTACTATTATAACAAAATTAATGGATATAACAAATATTTTTATTAGTTAGTATTTTTTTATTGAAATTTAAATTGAAACAACATATTTAAGAAGTATGAAAGTAGTTGTATAAAAGAAACAATATTATTTTTTACACTTTTAAAAATGTAGTACCAAAATAATAAAGATATAGTGATTTCTAATCCTACAACATTTATTTATCCATAGTTAAGTGTCATATTCTATCTACCAAAATTTTAATCGATACATTTATACACATTCTATTATTGATTATAAAAATTTACTTTTTACATTTATTATGAACTACACGTACTATAAATATAGCATTTAACATAATTTTTACAGTACTAAAGTATTAATTGTGGTGCAATATTACAACATTTATTTTAGAAGTAGCAATTCAAAACCAAATCTCCAAATGAAACTATTGCAACCTACTCTTCTCCAACATGAGAAATTTGCACTCTTTGAAAATTCTAAGAAATAAAAATATTATTAAAAAAAAATTAGATAAATATACATACATATAAATAAATAAATTCTTATTCCAGTCTATTTTGATTCTAAAAATGATTACGAAATATATTATATTAGATTCTACTTATAGATCTAGATTGTTCTTGTTTTGGAAAGATTATAAAATAGAAGTTGAGTTGAGAAATAAGAAAAGATCCAAAAACCATTTTATTATAGAATCTAACAGATATAATCCTAAATCATAAGTAAATAAAAAATATAATAAAAATTTGTTAATATATTTGCATATAAAATTTACATTATATTTATTTTTTATTTTTAAAAATAAAATAAACATTTTATTGTTTTATAATGATTTTATTTTAATCTTTTGTCAATGTGGTTAGAGGCAACAAAGATTTATTGACATGTTTTTTATTTTATTTTGAAAAAAGTTTCTACAGAGTCTAAATTTAATTTCAAAATACATATTTTTTAAAAGAAATATAAATGGTTTTAATGATTTATTTACTTAGGAATTTTATTTTAATAAAATTTAAAATATATTAACATATTAAATGTATTAATGACTTTTAGGTTATTGATGTTTTTGTAGGATTTTACGTTTTATTTCAGTTTGTTTTTGTTTACTTATACTTTGATAGAATTGGTATAAAGCAAAAAAGAGAAAGACACTAGAATTGTAGATCATATTTTTGAAGAATTCCTTGTCTTTAGATAGATTCTAGCAAAATGACCTATTGATACTCACCTTAGTTTAATTGTGTTTGATTGTTACACAACTGCATTCCCCTATCCAACATCACTAACATTCTTGGTTGTGGTTCTAATCGTTTTTATACTGTTTCTTTTTAGATCTAGGTAATGTACATTCAAGAACAAGACTAACTGATTAAATAGATAAGAACTCCACAAATTTTTATCCTTATTTCTTACGAAACACCAAGTAAAGATCGAGCCAAATGGTAGGGCTGCATCTATCTCCTTGTTGCAAACTCCAACTTTGCGATAGAGAATTCATGTGGTGACGTTGCAGAACCCCTGCCAATGTTGGACTTTCCTCGTCACTTTGGTGACATAGAATCTTATCGAAAAATGCAACTATGCATACACTAATATGGAGGAATCGCAGACCATTGGAGACGAGCATCTACGCTAGACTGGACACAGGGACTAACACAAGCCAGATATGGTGGCTCCTGTATCAGACTCTCAGCAACTCACGCCAGGGAACTGCTTCCAGCCTCATTGTTTCATAAGAGGGCAACTTTCATATACTGTGGATAAGCTACAACAAGCATGAGCTGCAAAATCCAATTCTACTATAAATTGAACGAACTTGAACAAGGGCTCAAACATGTTATAATTTTTATCTTCATACAATGTATCGTTCAGTGTCTTCTTTGTAGAGGCTAGAGTAATATTTTATTGAGGAAGTAAGCTGGCCTACATCTGAATATGGTAATGCCAAATCTGCACAGCGGAACACTGGTCTGCGGAATTACCCCCGTTTCTAAGTAATTTCGTAGGTAGACACTCTCGCATTGACCATCTTAATTATTTCAGGATCTTCGCAATCTCAAGTGCAACATTGTTACAACTAATGGTCTCTCTGCCTCTCTTGCCTTTCAAGAACGTCTCTAATGCTAAGGGATTTGTTGAACTTGCCATCAATTCCAAAAGAAGGATGAGGGGGTTTTAACTCTCCATTGACTGAACGAATTGACCCTACAACAAGCGATGGTTTGGTTGTTGACAGAGGGCAACCATTACCAGGTGTGTGCTTGTCGTCAACGGGTCTTCGGCGAAGTAAACTTAGCACCATCACAGAAATGCTCTGGTGATTACTGGTTTGCTTGGCTGTACTTGAAGGAGCAGCTGGCACACTCCCTTGTTCGAACTTTGCTTTTCTTGTGGCCATCTCTCTCAGGATTTTGGCACGGGTGTCTGCTCCTCGCATAGCGTTCGCCCCGCGTAATTGATATTTCAGAGCATCTGAAAAGCACATCACAGTACTTATTAATACATGGAAGTTTGTTTTGAGTTCCTTGTAGAATTACGAAGCATGTAGTGAGTCACATACTTGAATGATAGATCATCAACAATGTAATAACGTGTCAGAGTTCGAGTTATCTAACAAAGAACGTTACAGTGGAGTGCACTGGCTTGCAGTGAACAGTGTCCTGGAATATGAGTAAGCTCAGCCTTAACATCTACACAAAGATTTGAATGAATCTGGATATGAAACTCTCAGGGCTCCAGCGAATGCAAAGAACCAAAAACGTTTACGACCTTCCCATACTTAACCTACACAATGAAATTCGCAGAATGGCAACTCTTTTGTACCTTGTGCACGAGTAGTGTAAGGAAGTACATGTGCAGATTCTAGGCCAACATCGTAAATGTCATGTACGTACTGGCATCTATAAAAGTTGATCTCACATTTTGCAACAGAATTTCACAACGTGCATGTACGACGAGGTGAAATTACAACTTGTACAATACAAAGGGTTTTCTACTTTTAAGGGTTAGATTATGCTGCTATCGACAAAATAATTTTTTATATGTCACCCCAGCAACGGTAGTGATGTGAACTTAGTCGATCTGATTATGTGTACAGACTGAACTATACCAGAACTTAAGAAGTTCTTTGGAATGAAGGACAAACCAGACGAAGAGAAAAAGTAGTAAATCAATTTTGAAGACAATAAATGATTTATAATGTTCACTTCACTGATATTTCTCATCTTCAATCCAAATCATATCAAATTGATAGTGACCTTGACGAAATCATCGCCTTAGTTTGGAATGCAGTCCACCCAAAGCACGTGTACTGTGGCGAAAGGCGTAATCGTCAATCTATGGAAGTTTGGACGAACTAAAAGATGGTTCATGGCATCCATAAGACCAGCAAGCTGAATCGGAAGGCACTCAAAATGGAGAGTTCTTCTCAATCTAGACTTTAATGAGCTCATATCAAATGAAGATGCGTGAAGATATTTACTCACTTGAATTATATGATGGTGCACAAGATTCCACTTTGGATGATCCCTTACATGCACCCTCATCACTGCAGCCAAAGCTTGACTTGATGGGAAGGCATGACAGATTAACACCGGGAAACCTCGATTGCAGAGCCACGGGCTGCATGTCCGGAATTTCGAACAAGTCTGAGCTGTAATCGTCCCAGTCGTGATTGTCCCGTTGGCGAGACAGCTGGCTGCTTGATGAAGTGTCCATATACGAGTCCGAGCTGCTGGTCAGAACTCCATCTGAATTAGTTGCATGCTTTTTGGCGAGAGCCGCAGAATTTGCCCGTTCTAAGGAGATCAGCTTCAGCTTCTTGTCAAGGACTGGCTTTGTCTTCCGCCCGCTGGCACCAAGAACTGGAAACGGAGACCCGAATGCTCCTTTCAACAATGCATTACCGCCGCGCGGGCTTTCAGTTCGGCTCCGGGGCCCCTCCAATTCTTCTTCCCCACCCTCGACATCGTCCTCATCTGCGATCCGCCGCAATCCCCTGTGCTCCATCAATTTTGCCGATTTCATTTCTTCAAATATGTGCCCTGACCCCAACTCTTCCAAGGCTTTCGCTGATGGCGAGCAAGGAAACGAAAAAAACATATCCCGATCAGAATCGACTCGATCCAACGGTTCAGATGCCTCAACGACCACCAGAGGTTCGGGAGTAGTGCACACAGGGGTAGTGGAGTATTTAAAAGGTCCTGCATCCTCTTGCTGCTTTGGGATGTCCACTCTGAGACCTTCTGTGGGAGTAGACATGGGCGCAACACACAAGTCCCTTTTGATTCTGTCCTCGGTATCTTCAGCTGATGCAGGAGGCTCATGACTCGATGACGTAGAAGCTGGTGACACAACGAGTTGCATGAGGGTAACATTTCCGGAATAATCGTCCCGACGTTGTTGAAACTGGTATTCTGAGCTCGATCCTGTCTCAATCTCCGTTCTTCGACTACGGGTTGAAATCGAAAGGCTCATGGCGTCGCGCTCTTTTAAACCACAGCAGCCAATGCAAGCATGTCCACCCTCAGAGCACGTCTCACTGTCGGAGTATCTGCTGCTCGCGACCGAGCCACAACATCTCACACAAGCATGACCGGCATTAGAGCATGTCTGACTGCTGTCCGAAAATCGGCCACCCTTCGAAATCGTGTGTCGATAGTTGTGATATCCATCTGAGAGGTGCAATCTGTCCACTACTTCCCGAGAAGTTTCACCCCGGATCTCGAACCTCAAAAGCTCATGCAATGGGGGAGCGGCTGCTTCACACACCTCAGTGCAGTTTCGTCGAAGTGGAGAATTGTTGATTCTTGGTAAGCAGGCAGACTGCCTGGCTGCACTCACCACGGAGGCCCACCGACCTGTAGCTGGAAAGCACGATTCGAAAAATGACCTCAGCTCCACCTTCTGCATACCAGCTTTATAAGGTGCCCCTAGATCTATGTCCTCCTCAAACATAGACTCTGAAAATTCAGACGACCTCATATCCTCATCTTGTACAGTATTGGGAGAATTGCTTTCGGTCAGTACCACACTATTGGCACCATCTTCGGGAGAATCTAACTGCACTCCTTCAGCGACATCCTCTAGTTCTGATTCTACTTGAATATCGTTGTCGTCGTCATCGTCGTCAACTATGATAATCCTATTCTCAACTTCTAGCTCAACCGAGCTGCTGCCCGGCGTCTGAATTTTTATCATAGGCGCAAAGATTTCGACAGTCTCGGACTTATCGCGTTCCTGCAAGAGCAAAAATGTGTTCCTAGCTGACGCTTTTGCAGCGGAGATAGCATAAGATCTTTCCAGAGCATCCATGCCTTGCATTTCCAAGTTCCTCACAAACGGTGTTCCCACAAATGATGCAAATGTGATATCTCCAGGTGAATGCTTTATCTGGAAGTTCTGGATTCCACCTAGCAAACCCTCCAAGCGAGCTGTGAAAAGGTCTGGATTCCCACCATACCGCCGCCGTTTCCGTCTCTTGTAGAAGAGAGTGGCAAGTTTACCCTTGTCCCCTGTGTCTGCTGACCACCTTGGCGACTCGTAGATCAAGGACTTCGAGTTGCTGGTACTCAGCTCGGAGCAATCCGTGTAGGTTTCAGTGCTGGTTCCAAGCCACCCTGCTCTAGAATAGCACACCCCCATCTTCGTTATGTTGCTGAAGTCATCTAATGAATTCAAACTAAATCATCAGCTGAATCTTCAACACTTTGGTTACAGCACTTTGATGTCCTAGTTGCCTAGTTTGCCTCTCCGAATCCCTATTCCTAAGACAGGTGATTCCAGCCTGTGTACTTGGCGTTCCAAAATTGGTTGCGTCCATGATTGATCTTCCTAAAGCTCTCACACTGATACATGCGCTCTGAAGAAAAGTTGGGCATAAATGTAAAGGAACTGGATGGGAGGCTACGGGGTCAGAGAAACAGAGAGGATGATGGCGAAATTGAGGAGAAAATATCCATGGTGAATTAAACTCACAATCTGTATCCATGATATCTTGCGACCCCCTAAGACCAGGTTTAGTATCTTCTATTTCTATTGTCTGTGCGAGCGACGTGTAGGCTCAGTTCGGAGGACTTCCAAAAGGCTCAACGCTGGCTGGTTCTGTGTGAGAGCGAATAAATCAAGATAAAAGTAATTCCAATGCTAGGCGTCTACCCCCAATGCTATTTCACCCTCGCAATGTCGACGTTTGCTACCACCAACCCTCAACGTTCAGGTATCTCACAAAAGAAGTACAAATTGACATCAGATCCTGGAATGTGCATATACGTTTTCAACCTTGAGTGCATGTATTCGCTTCCATACAGCTAGCCCCTCAATTTCCTTTACGATGTGGACACTCCTCAATGACAAGACACAAACAGAAACACCTGCAGGCTTGCACCCACAAACCGAGAAGGCATGGTCACCCGTTCCAGCACCGCCTCATCCATAGATGCAACCCGAGCTCAACCAGATCACAAACCGATCGTCACACATGCATACACTGAAGGCCTGCCATGGCAAAAGTAGAACTCCACCCTGAGCGGGGGAACAAACTGGAACATGAGGACAAAACAAGTGCAGAGGTGAAGAAATCTAGAAGGGAACATGAGGCGAGCGTGATGAGGGAGAGGAGCGGAGGGGAGAGCAAAGGCGGCAGATATGGCAAGGGGAGGGGGAGAGAGAGGGAGAAAGTGAGGGAGGGACGGAGGGAGGGAGGGACGGAGGGAGGGAGGGAGGGAGGGAGGGAGGCAATGTGGGAGCATCAATAGCAAGAACGAGAAGAAGAAGTAGATGGGGAAGGATGAAGGGGGAAGACAATGGTACGAGTCCAGTCCAGTCCAGTCCAGCCCAGGGCCACAAAGGCTGCAAAACACGCAGCTTGATTATGGGTGAGAGTTCTGTTGCTGCTGCAGGGCTGTACGGGTGCCCCTCCCCCTTCCATTCCCTTCCTTTCAACACCCTCTTTACTCGCGCACTGTGGCTGTCCATCTGTCTGTCTGCCTGCCTGCCTGCATGCTCTGTTGTCAGAGCTACTCTCAACCGCCTCGCCGCTACTGCTCCCTCCCTCCCTCCCTCCCTCCCCGCCCCTTCGACTTTTCTTTCTCCTTCCATCGACGACTCTTCTTTCAATACGTTCCTGCAACCAGCTTGATGCCACACTCCCCGTTCTCTCACTCTCCATCCCTTCCTTTCTCTTCTCTCACGCAGTCAGCCACTCGAGAGTGTCGCACACAAGCAAAATTGACGCGAATGGGGGACATTAAGCTTTTCAATGTTCCCATGTTCGTTTCAAACTGGACTGTTGATTTGCAATGTTTGCTTCCTGTTGCTGAATGAATGCTCATGAAACCTGTGAGAACATCATTGTATCCTTGTATCCCGTTGAAACATTGCCACCTGGAACTAACACTTTGTCCACCATGCTCTAACCTTGCTGCTGAATTCCACTATTCTGGGCAAATCCTTCTGTTTTTGTTTTTGTTGTGTGTTTTTTTTGTTTTTTCCCTCCTGTAAGAGATACTGGGGAAGTCGAAGCTGCGATCGTTCTTAATTATTTGATGTGTACATTACACAATGAACTTGCCAGTTGAGGTTGTGAAAGCCCCATGCATTCACTCATTTATGCATTTTTCCCTCTTTTGAAAACTGCTTTGCAGATTATTGGCTTGTAATCATAAATTTGATATCTGTAACCTCTTCTAGAGTATTTAAACCTGGAAGTTCACTTTTGAAGGGTTATGGTTTGATTTTTTTGTGGAGGTTATTTGTTTGGTGAAATCATTTGTCTTGAGTTTCTTCAAACTAATGTTCCATAGTTATATGCAATATAGATAATTATTGTATTTGATATAGAGATTTTAAAGCATATACAACTCAAAATAATGAGTGTGGTTAGTATATGTATATTTTATTATCATCATCAAATAAAAGCATTGAAATAAGAATATATTTGTCTTTGCAATATTAGATTAAGATTCTAATTGTTTTATTAATAATTGGTAGTATGACTTAAATGCTTTTAAAATATAGACATACAAATGCTTTTAAAATTTAATTCATAATGGGAAATTATCTAATATGAAAATATTTTCAAATCATCTTTATAAATTTGACAAAAGTTCAATCAAAAGATAAAGACGCCTCTAATATTATTTACAAATTATTTTGCAATTTACTTATCGCGTGTTAAACATGTTCTACTAGAATAAATATTGAAGAAAAAAATATTAAGTTGCAAATAATCAACTATATTAATCTATAATAGAATTCCTTTTATTAAAACAACTGGTGGTTGCAATAATGCTTAATAATAATAATCAATAAACAGTTCTTAATTTACTAACAAATCATGTAATGTCGCAACTTTTTATTTGATATTCTTGATATATTATTCTTTCAAGAATGTAAAAAAATAAAAAATAAAATCTGAATAGTATCTTAAAAAATAGAGTATTTATTTTTGTAAAAAATAAATACAATTACTAGTACTTTCAACCAATATACAACTAGGTTTTATCTAATTCAATAAGAATACTTGTTGGCAATTGTGTATGAACAAAAGTGCAATTTTTTTGAGGTTGAACACACTTAGCCATTGTTGATCTCAAGTGTACTGTATGTTATAATTACTTCATCTTCTATTGACACCAAGCATGCTCACCTAGACATTGCATTTGAGTTTATGTACGAGTTAGAAGAAGTGACAGATGGATTCCAAAAAAATAATTATATATGTGTGTATATGTAAATATAATTAAGTGACATAAAATATTCAGATTTGTGCCATCACAGTATGTGTTATTGAATGTCTGCTTAACCATCCTCAAACATTCTCAAATAAGCTGCACATTCAGGAAAATTCTTTTGAATGTGTGAGAATTGGTTTGTAAGTAGGCAATACAACTTCTGGTTTAGACAGATGAAAGACAAAATAATGCAGATTGTCTGGCAACAATCTGCAGGACCTTTTTCTAGAACATCTCTTCAATGATATGCCTGTATGATATCTGCTGAACTTATACCATCTTAAGCTCATGTACAATTGGATATGGCAACTTGGCATTTTTGATTTGGATTGCTCAAATGGGTTGTAGGGGTTTGGAAGCAAAGGTCCTGCCTGGCATGCAACTCCCTGTAATCTTATTTGTTGGACTGCACAATGACACAACAAACCAGGCGAGATAAGAGGTGGGCATCCACCATGCTGAGAATGTGGATGATACAGAGGTGGAGGTGGAGGTGGAGGTGGGGACATACATGATGACAAACATCCTTTCACCCATGGACTCACTCTTGTGATCTGATCTGGGTTGATGAATGAGGAATAAAGAGAGGAAGGGAAGGGAAGGAGGGAGGGCATGAATAGCAATGGAGGTGACCTTCCTCCTCCCCCTCCCCTCCTCTCCCTGCCTGCCTGCACTGCACTGCATGGAGGTTGTTGTGGCCAGGACAGGGCAGAGGTAGGTCAGATGGGTGTGAGATGGGAGAGGGAGGCAAGGAGGGCACCCACTCTTAGGTTGTCAGCCAGTTGCCATGCCATCAATTGCCATGGGTGCCCCCACCCCCACTATTGCTCTCTGCCTTGCTTTGCCTTGCCTGTCCCAGATTCTCTGGTCTGGCTACTTTACTACTCACTCTCATCTGGTCCATGTCCTGTATCCCCCTATGCTGAGTTGGTTTCATCAGATTTAGAGACATATTCCTTCCATACACCTTTGTCTCTTTCCATCATGGCTACATCCTCCACCCCAATTGGGTGAACATCACCTGTCAACATAGAAATGACACTGGCAAACATACCCCATTCCTTCTTTTATATTGACTATGGGTATAGATCCATGAAAACATTCAAATCTTAAGTGGATAATATCAGATTTAAACGGATCCTGATTCTTATATTTAAAGTTCAAATGCTCCTAAAAATAAATAAAATGGAGTTGCTGATTTTTCTATATTTTGCTTTGGCTCATGAGGAGATCAGCTCTAAGTGATCTCACAATTATTGCGAGTTAAGCTGTCACGCTCCTAAGTAGACAGCTCACTGCCAAGCTATCTTTCCGTCAACCATTATTGCTCACAGGAGTATTAGTGGTTCCCATCCCTCCAAGATTTCATCACCAGTTTGACTTTGTTGATAGAGATCTCTGGATCAGTAGAATCCAGATTCCCTATTCTAGTGGCAGTGTGGTATAAATGGCACACAAATCCTCACAAAATTTCAAACATTCAGTTACTGGAACCTTGTCATCTTCAGTTGGCACATCTCATGTCATGCCTAAGAATGGCTCAGAGCAAAGAAATGGTACATTGCTTAGCTGTCCCTTCCAAAGCACTGGAACTCATCAATTATATGAAGGATGAAGTGCTACATTCACAAGGACCTGGAAGTTACTGAAATGAACACCTGTCAATGCTAACAAGTTGGGGATTGATACTGCAACACGTAAACTCAAACACACCAGATGCTCAAGACTGAAGAGAGGCATTACCCTTGGGAGCACCACCTTGCCCTGAACATGTAATTGTGTGACTCATAATTGCTCCCTTGACAGCACTAGAAGTATCCAAAGGAGATTGCACATGGGCAGCATGATTTTGTGGGGGAATTGGGGGGTCAGATACTGCTGATGGCCTCCCAAAGCCATTGCTGCAACAGTGGAAGTCTTCAATGATGATGGGACTTGAAGCATTGGATTTGATTGAGCAATATCTCCCAAGCCTGCAACACTAACTGGGTGAAGCACAGCCTGCCTGCCTGCTGGCCAGTAACTGGTGAGTGGTGGGCCTGCCTGCTTGGTGTACCTTCACAAGCACTCCTGTGAACAAGTTATCATACAATTTTGTGTACTGATTGTGAAATCAGCATTGCTGAACAGCAGTGATAAAAAGGCTGTGGAAGTGCTCCAACAGCTGATTACTGGAGAATTCCCTGTTAATGTATCCTTCTGCTGACTTTCTTACAGAAATCTAATCTTTTCCAAGAAATTCTTCTCTACATGTCCTTCAAATCAACAATATGGAGCCAAGCCACAGCAGGGTACAAAACAACACCCCTGACATGGATACTTCACAACCATTGTCTCAAACACTAATCACTTTAACCTTGTTTTTGCAATGTGCCCTTCTGTTCATCAGAAAACTCTGTAGAAAATTTGGAATGATTACTAGAGAATGGCAAGTTGCACCCAAGTTTGCAACATTGAGGTGAAGAGATTGGAGATTCATATCCCAATTGTAAAATGCCATCCATGCTTGATGGTCCTTGCACACATGGTCAAGTCTTCTCCAAATTTAAAGTGTTTCACAAAGAAATAGAAAGAGCATGGACAACAAGATACATACTTGAAGCACCACCTACAGCACAGAATATACTTCACAAGAATTAAACTTGGACTGTGCAGAATATGGAATTTGGAGATAATTGTCTCAACCACACACTACACATCACCATGGAGTGGCAGAATGGAAGAATTGTACTCTACTAGATATTGTCTGATGTTTTGTTTTGTTTTGTTTTTTTTCTTTTCTTTCCTTCTTCTAGAAAATAATCTTTCCAGCAACCTTTGGATTGAAGTAGTTTGTTCCAAGTGATACATAGTCAATCTACAAATCTCAAAGTTACTTCTTAACAAGATTCTTGAAGATTTTTTTAAAAACAAAAATTGGACATATCTAAGCTCTGTGTTTTTGACATGATAGTATATACCCATCAA